ATCTTTATCATTACTCGTGACTTATCAATACCAATTTCCTTGAAAAGTGAAATAAGATGCCTGGCCTTGATGATTGTCGCATCGGTGTCAAAAGAAAGTTTTGCATCTACCTCAACTGACACCCGACCTGGAATAAGCTTGAGAATTTCTGCACCGAAGTTCACCAACTATAAATAAAGTAATATGAAATGAATTTACAGTAATAAATTTTTAGTAAGTGTATTGGGTCAGAAATAAAGTTACTAGTTTTTCAGCAGCCAATTCAGTCATTTTCTCCATTGGACTAATGATCGAAAGATTAGTTACATCATAATATTATTATTAAATATGAAATATATATATTAATAAATAATTAATACATTTCTTTACTCTTCACATATTCAATAGCCGAATTAATTAAATAATCATAATGAGGGTTTTTAGTGGCTTCTAAAATCAACGACGGATTTGTGGTCGCTTCATGGGGATTAAATTTTTTCATCGCTATAATATTTTAAAAAATTCACAATATTTTGTTAAACGAAAAGAATTAATTCAAATATGGTTAAAGTTATTGATAATACGTACACACGAAATCACCAGAGTCGCCAACGATTGTGGTAAATTGTTTTATTTGATCAAGAACTGAAACCATGATTTTATTTAGCAATTTTATAACAGTATTGTAGAGATATGTTTTATAAATTTAAAAATTGAGATCCTAAAATTCACTCGCTTTATATAAATCTGTGCAGATCATTTAGAAACAGTGATTCAAGGTGAAAATCAATAACGATAATAGATATCGACATAAATAAGATTCAACGATAATGTATAAGAATATGCTTTGTTCGAGATTAGAAATTGAAACCCAAGTTTAGATCTTTGTCAAAAGCAAAACAAAAAATTTCTCTTCAAAATCCCCATAAAATCTAAATTTAGATCTTTGGCTTATCTTAGCAGAATATCCACAAAAAGAACAAATTGGGAACTTATAGCAAAAGGTAGCATTAGGACACTCAGTTTTGTGTAAATATTCTGTAATAACTACTTATCTAATCTGAAAATTCAAAATCTTTGGTTTTAATATAAACGAGAAAATACTGCAAATGGCCATACAAAAGACACGGGTCTGTTACATTCCACCAATTTTAAACCTATAGTTGTGTCTAGTACCCTGTGGGTCTACTATCTTGGATGTCTTT